ACCGATTTTCAATTTCTTTTCATCCAAAATTTTCTTTTTTCATGCTCTTTTATTTGATATGTCACAAGGGGTACCTTGCTATTTAAAAAAATTAAGTTGGGGGCAGGGGGGGAAAGGGGGGGAATGTGAATGTAACGTTGAATTCAAAACAATTGGTCCCCCTACGTCAATAGATGATTCCCGCAAACTGCATATTTCTATCTATTGCGGTTTTTACATAAATAAAGATGCAAGTTTTTAAAAAAACACCCTGTATATAAATTTGAAGGGATGGTGTTTTTTGCCTCTGGGGACCTTAAAACAAAAAATAAAATCGGTCCTGTGTCTAGGTCTTACCATGACACCTGCCGTAATAGCTTATTCCCTATGGGAAATTTGCTAAAAGCCCAATGATCAGGACCTCAGGACAGCTGGGTCCATACAGTCCATAATAAAAAATCAATATCTATATAATTAATACGCTACATGAAACTTTGTCGGTTGAACTCCTCCGCCATTTTATCCATTGACGTCTCACTGGAAAGAGCGTGACGCGTAGATTTGCAAACTGGTCTTACATTTTTGAAAAAGTCCCTCGGGCTCTGCCCCAGTGGCTTTGAAAGTTCCCACGTCATCCTTATGAAGAACATAATTGTTTACATTTTGATCAGCTGTATAATTTAATTGCTGTTATTTCAATTCAATTCAATTTTTCAATTCAATTGAGTACATTTATTTACTATTTGAGTTTGTGTAAACATAAGACGGATCGTGATAGCATGATTGTATCTTAAATTTGTGTATTTATCGTTGTTTTGTGTAACTATAATTTGTTTATTTGTTGTTTTTTTTTAATGCCTCCGACGCGACGACAACGAAACATAGACAGGAGGTGTAATCATGATAACGACCGCAGCTACAGAACAGTGGCGCGTAATAGGCTTAACTCATCACAGTCAGCACCTGACCCTGGACAATCTCAACTATTAGGTTACAAATGCCTAAACCTACAACACTATCCCTTAACGACTTTTTGTTCTCAATTGGCCCTCTATCAATGACCTGTAAACAAACATAAACAAAGATAAACATTGTCTGAGTTACACACCGGTACTCTTTGAGTTGACTCCTTTAAACTCATTGTAAATATGACTGTTATTAGTTTTGAAATAACACCTGTAATACTTTGCAATTGCTCGAATTCGAGCAACATGTACACTAGTCAGTCATTATTTCAGTTCCGGGGCTATTACAATGAATTTTAATAGAGCACTCTGCACTGGACTTTGGAGCCCGAGATCTTGTGTTCAAATCCTGCCAATCACCAATGGGTTTTATCAATGTGATAATGCGGTGACCCTCTAGGACTAGCTTGAAGTAATGTGTACAACCATATAGCCTCCTGTAATACAAGGCCGTGGCAACACCACTGTCCCATCTGTTGCAGCTGTTGCACTTATTTTTAATGGACATTTAAGTAAAGGAAATGTCTATGTTTACACTTTTGTTATTTCTGTTACTATGGCAATAGTCATGAAGTTGTGACATTGCCACACACCAAGATGCCGCAGCCTTTTGTTAGAGGAGGCTATGGTAAAACAGTTCCTGGCTAGAACCTAGAGCGTCCTAGAATGCGAAGATGGGACAAAAAAATTGTGTATCAAAAACTTGTTTGAAACATTTTGTATTTTTAGTGTTAAACCGGAAAAAACCAAGAAATTTCATTCAATCAAAAATCCCAAAGACTCAAGATGCAACATTTGACCTTATCACATGTCACACCCGCCCCTCCTTGCATTATATTAATATTCCATCAGCAAATTTGAGGGATAGTTTGGAATATGTATTTATTATAAGATTATTGACAACCAATAATCACAAGCTTTTTTTGGCGGCTGTGACTAATTAAAAATAAGCCAAACAATACTCCATAACATCAGGAAGCATCGCCAGCCCTTCGTAGATTTCTTCCGAGCGCCAAAGACCGAAATCAAATTATTCTATTATAATTGTGAGCAAAGTTATGAAGCTGGAATAGTGCGATCTAGCCTCGGACAATGTACGTCTTGCCGACATCAGCACGGTCAACGGCACTAGCCTCGACCAAATCCGACGCTCTGATTGGCTGAGACACCTCAGGCCTTCAGCATTGCGTCGGTTTTTGAGTAGTTGCGCGTGAGATGTAGAAGTGTTAATTACGCAGTAGCTCGTCCGTCCGCTCGCCCATTTTTAAATAATGTAAATTTTGTATTAACATAACCAGATCGTAAATCTAAATTAGTAATTGTAACTAAATTGTAACCCTTGTGATATGTTGTGAACCCCAATTGTCAAATATTTATTAAATTGATGTTTCTGTCGTGTGTGATCTAATATAAAAATAAATTAAGTCAAGCTCCCAACCAGCAGTTATTAATTTTTCCTTTACACCACTCGGGCCGGACGTTACACACATGTTCTTCTCAATATCCATAATCTCTCTCCGGGCCTTTCCTTCACTCTTTCTCTACACAGTCCTTCAGGTCTCTCTTGTACTTCAACTCTTCCTTTTCCATTCCAGTGTTTTTCACATATTAACTTACTGGGACTGACTATCAGAAGAGTACTTTTCTCAGTTGTCAGAAAAGTATGTGCTTAAAAAAATATCTCTGTTCACCCACCACCTTTTATTACAAGTCTGAGGTTTGTAATAAAAGTGCTTACTGACAATCTTGCCAAAACAAAATCCTGACCAAACACATTTCAGCCAATGATGCACCTTGCATCTGTACGTAGGTACATAGACAACTTTTTGTACTTTCTTTTGTACTGGGGTCTAAGGTTTTTTGTTTCGTAAGCCTGGTATCCTAAAGAATTGCCTAAAGAATATTGTAGTAAAATTATATTTTATGGAAACATGGTTTAAGATTGTCAGTTATTACCCTTGTTACATTTGTTATTACAGCTTTAGTACCTCTAGTCCGAACATTTTTGTAGTAGGATTGGTCTAATTCGGTTTATTCTTGGCTTAAAATACCTACATTTTTAAGGCTGCCATTTCAAAATACAGTATGAAGTTTAAGCAGCTATTTAGGTGATTTTTTTTAAAATTGTAAATGTCTAACAAACTTTGGGAGGGCCCCCCATTGCTAAATCCCCATTTGGAGAAATTTGTTACGGAGAATGCAAATGCCCTTGATATAGACTAACTAGTAACTGAGGCATCGTTAGGTTAAGAAAGAAAACTGTCATAAAAATTATTTATTACTTAAAACTATTGGGATGTATAAAATTATATTTCTAAAATTAAACCCTGCCCAAACCTGATGTAAGATTGACTTACAGAGGATGGCACGTGTTGCTAAGAGCCAATAATAAAACAAAAGATACCTTTTGCATAAAAAATTAAACAATTGCACCATTGACATTAGTTTTGTTCTAGGAAAATCTCCAGGGCGGGATTTTGAATTGTAGAATGGCCGATAGCAGCTAGCTTAGAGAAGCTTAGTAGAAATCCAATGGGGACGTATTTGTGAACTCTCTTTCTCTACACTCTCCTCTGGGGACAAAGCAGTAGGCCTATGTTTTATGTGTCTTCTGAGTGGTCTATGGTGTGTTTTTCTACTAAGGTAAGCTGCTGCGCTATCCTCTTAATTTTACAATTCAAAACTTCATCATTCTATAGTTCGGCTGCTTAGAAAACGACCTCCTCTAGCATTGGTTTAGCATTAGCGCGCAGGTCGTTTTCTAAGCGGTCAAACTATAGTTTTTGTTGTTTTAATAACATTCCCATCTGATTATTAGGTGTTGGAGTTTTTATTTTGATTCTAACCTGATAGATTTAAGGGAGGATTGGGAAAAGTTATTAGGCCTACTGTAACTGTGACATTCACTTAAAATATAATGTGAACTCAATAGCAGGTCTGTGGCTTGGGCCCGAGAGGTATTTGCCCCCTCGCCAGTCCTTCCTTGCATCACTAGGGATCATAGCTAAGACCTCTTGCGCCCCCTGATCCTGGACCCACCGATTTATTAAAGTGGCCCTGTTAGCGATCCTGAAAACCAACTAATTGAAAGTCTAATAGAATTTCAAGTGTGACTTTTTGATCAGGACCCCTCTGCCATTGGGCTAAAAATAAATGGTCCTGGCTAAAGAAAATTTAGACTTCCCACCCAATGTAAACATTTGAAGCCGAAAAACGTGGTCAATCTGTTTAGATGGTCTACCAACTAATGACAATATTCATTGTCAAGTGATAAATCAATAGCTGTTGGCATGGGTTTTAATTAATATTAAACCCAATACATTACCTTCTGGTGGGATGGTCCTGAACTTCATCTATTTTCTTGGCTTCAAATTTATACATTGGATGGGAAGTCTAGTATCAGTCAGTAACAAAAGCTATACAAATCACTTCATTCTACTACACCGATCCTTATATTTAGGTTAAATTTTGCATCCCCTCGTTTTTTGCAATGGTAACACAGTAATGACCTCTTAGACAGTTTTCAACACATAAAGATACTTTGGTTTTTCTGGTTAAGGGCTTAGTAAGTTGTAGTAATATATAGTAAATCGCCCTTGTAGAGGTGTGCAGTTTTTGTCTAAAATTTGTATCATTGGCTCTTAGACAAAAAGTTCAATTACCTAAAGACAAAGTTCAACGTTTGTGAACTGTCCCAGTGTGTAAAAATATAAGATACTTGTTTTAATATGTTAGAAAGTAAAACATAAGCTTAAACCCAAGTAACTTAAATACATCATTAATTGCCAATCAATCCTTTCATATTAAAATTTAAGTTTTAATTTTAAATATTTCGACAATACTATTTTGTATTACTTTTCTGATTACAGTAATACTTATGGTTTTTTTTATTTCAAATCGAAGAAACTCAGACAACTTGGTTTTCCATCTAACACAAAAAAAACTCATCAAGATAAAAATGTAAAACCAAATAGTTAAACAAATTATTTAAAAACAACATTAAATAATTAAAATAAAAAACAAACTGAAAAGAAATTAGGAAAAATAAGACAGAAATGAAGAAAGTAACATTTATTAATTTAATGTAATAATTAAATTAATGGTCCATAAATAATTGAAATTAAAGTTAATGTGACATTAAAGTAACAAAAATAAACAGTGTAACAAAACATTGTATATTGCATAATACCATTAATCGAGTTAAACTGAACATTCTATAGGCTCTCCAATTAGTTAATTGCACTTTAAAATTATAAATTGTTAACATTACTTATACCTCTTAAGATATACAGTTTATTTACAAACAGTGTTAAATCTATACAAGCAAAAAGTATTAAAACCCCTGTAACTATTTATTATACAAGCTCATATTGTGTTATAAAATACTAACAAGCTTATTAACTATAGGGAACAATATAAAAATATAAAATTCAACAATCTAAAACACTTAACAATGCCCATAAGGGCGGATTGCTTCAGGAACAACAAATTCAACCGACTAAACAAATTAATATATTGCAAGACAAACATAAATTCTTAACAATTCATTTTAAATTCATGAAAACAAAAACTGTTATAAGGACCTTAGTTTGGTCATTAGGAATATAAAATGTCAATACACACTCTAAAAATAAATAATAAAAAGTTGTGAATTTTAAAATTGAAAACAAAAAATCATATGGAAGATTTGAAAGGACGGTTTTCTATATCACAGTCTAATTCAAAGGCAGTCCTTGTTACAAAATGTATCTTACAATTGTTAATTTATATTGCTTGTGTTTTTATAGAAATAGTAGACAATGCATATTTTATGAAATTTTCCTTCTTATTTTTAGTTAGAAACTTTAGGCAGGTAGAACTTGTGTTTGGGAGTGTCTCTGGTGTGTTTGAATGGTGCTTGCTCTTTCTTGGTCTCTATGAGAGCTGCTGGGCAAGGTCCCGTGACTCGAGGTGTAAACTCCTTGCGGTACAAAGTGCTGATGGACTGCTGAGATTCACTTCCGAGGCTGAAGTGAGATGCGTTAGACGCTCTGACTCTCGTCACACGTTCTGTAGTTGCAAAGTTTCCGTAAGCCTTCGCTTCGCTCTGACCATAGAAATGGCCTCCCCCGACGCTGAGATTGTCTTGTCTCCTTATCATAGTGGCAGGATGAGCTTCGTACATCGCTCCTTGCCTGTACATTGAGCTCAAGCTCTTCCTTCCTTCTTGGTGAGATGTTTGAGATAAGTCGATATGCTGGATGCTCTTCTTTTGCTGAGAAGCGGTGGAGGATATTGTGTGAAGTGCTTCTGTAGAAGATTGCACACCTTTGCGATGAAGTATTGTGTTGTTTGCATCTTTAGCGGATGAAGTGATGACACTCTTGCGGTGGTAGCCGTCTGACTGCCTCACTGGCTGAACAGATGGTCCTGTTCCCTCCAGAGCATGTAGGAACTCCATACTAGTTCTACTCTTGGAGTGCCGCTTACTGTTCTCCAACCTTTGCTGGCTGGACGTGTGGCTGGTAGAATGCCTCGACACCGAGGATTGAGCACTCTGTGAATGTCTTTCCTTAAGGTTTGATTCTTGGATGTGAGATGTCATATGATGATGTATGTTGCTAGAAGATCCAGATCTTGCTTGGTTCTGCTGATAAACTCTAGCTTCCTGGTCAATGATTTGTTTCATGCTTTGGGTTGAAGAGGATTTCGACAAGTGCTGTTCGGACTGGTGACTGGTGTGGTGAGATTGTTGAGATGTACGGGATTCTTGGTGTTGCCGCGACTGAGAGTGTCTAGCCTCATCAATCATTGCCTGACTAGATTGAGAAACATTAGTGGCATGTTTTGTGTACCCGTTTTGAACCGTATCTCTTGAATCTGTAACATGTGATTGTCTTCTAATGTTTTCATTAGATATCCTTTTTTCTTCGTTTATATATTGCTCGGATTTAGATATATGTTGTTGTGTTTCTTCTTTCTGCTGGACCCTCTTTTCAACTCCTGAGGTTTCTTTAGTAACATGTTTAGTGACGGTTACAACACTCCCATCGGCTAGAGTTTTAGTTTCGGTTGATTTCTGAACATCTTGGTGACGACTTGTTAAATCTTTGTCAGTGCTGTAAGATTTGCGATTGTAAGATGCCATTGTAGATCTGTCATCACCGAGAGTAATTTGTGATTCAATGTGCCTTCTTCTATTGATTCCTGATGGTGTGCTGTCTTTTTGTTGAACTGAAAATGTCTCTCTTGATGTTGTTGTGGAGTCCATTTTGCCATCTCCAATTTTGAGAGAATCTTCATACCTTTTTGTCGTTGCACGTTCACCTCTGACTACTTTGAACTCAGTCTTTTTCAAGGTTGTTCGCTCAAACTCACCTTCTCCAACTTGTAGATTATCTCTCGGCTTTTGGACTACTGCTCTCTCTCCTTTTCCTGGTTTGAAGTCCTCTCTCAAATGTGGAGTTCCGTGGAATTCACCTTCAACCTTCAAATTATCTTGATATCTCACTATTTCTGCTCTCTCTCCTTTACCAATACTAGTTGGAGTCCTCTTTACAAATTCACCTTCTGGCCTAAGGTTATCAGGATGTTTTATTGGTTTTTGACGCTCTCCAGGCCCAACTGGACTAGCTGATGGCCTTTCAAAGTCCCCTTCTGGCCTCAAATTGTCTGGATGTCTTATTGGTGTCCTTCGTTCACCTGGGCCAATGGGTGGTTTGTTAGGAGTTTCAAAATTACCTTCAAGGTGTAAATTGTCTGGATGTTTAACCACTGGTGCTCGTTCCCCTGGCTGATATGGGGAGGGAGATTTACGATCAAAATCTCCCTCAGGTTTTAAATTATCTGGATGTCTTATAGGGGTTCTACGCTCACCAGGACCTACTTTTTCTTTGTTTGGTCTTTCAAAATCTCCCTCTGGCCATAGATTATCAGGGTGTCGAACTATTTCAGCTCGTTCACCAGGCCCAACTTTTTGTGGTGTTCTCTTTTCAAACTCACCCTCTGGACGAAGGTTATCTTGAGGTTTAACGACAGGAGCTCTTTCACCCTTGAGAGGTTTATCATCCTTTGGCCGTTTCTCAAACTCACCTTCAGGTCTAAGATTATCAGGATGTTTTGTTATTTTTGGCCTCTCTGCGTGGACAATTTTATAGTCATCTCTTGATCGATGATCAATAAATTCACCTTCGACTCTGAGATTATCTTCATGTTTAACTACTTCCACACGTTCAGATCTTACAGCTGAATAGTCATCTCTTCTTGATATTTCCCATTCACCCTCCATTCTGAGGTTATCCTCATGTTTGACAACTTTAGACTTTTCAGCTCTTACGTTTTTATAGTCATCTCTAGATCTATATTCTTCAATTTCACCTTCCATTCTAAGATTATCACCCCTAATAGTGACCTGAGCTCGTTCCCCTCGGGTTGCATTATAGTCATCTCGAGACCGATGAATTTCTAACTCACCTTCCATTTTTAAATTGTCTTCGTGGTGAACTATTTCAACTCGTTCACCTCTGACAGTCTTATAATCATTTCTGGAGCGATGATCAATGAATTCACCCTCTGGTCTCAAATTGTCTGGATGTTTTACTATTTCTGCTCTTTCGCCCGGTTTGACTTTTTCAGGTGACCTCTTCTCAAACTCTCCCTCTGGTTTTAAGTTGTCTTTTGGCTTAACAACTTGAGCTCTCTCACCCCTTTTAGGAGTGTCATCTTTTGGACGTCTTTCAAATTCACCTTCTGGATAAAGATTATCCTTAGGTTTTACAACTGGTGCTCTTTCTCCTCTTACTGGTGTTTGTTCTTTGGGACGTTTCTCAAACTCGCCTTCAGGTTTAAGATTGTCTTGCGGTTTTACAATTGGAGCCCTTTCACCTCTCAGTGGAGTGCCTTCTTTTGGACGCTTCTCAAATTCCCCCTCAGGTTTCAGATTATCTGGATGTTTCACAATATCCACCCTTTCGCCCTTAAAATATCTGTAATCATCTCGGCTTCGTACATCTATGAACTCGCCCTCAATATACAGGTTGTCAACATGCTTTTTAACTTCACTTCGTTCACCTCGTACTACTCTGTAATCATCTCTGCTCCTCATATCAGTAAACTCCCCTTCCATTTTTAAGTTGTCTGTGTGTTTGTGAATTTCTGCTCTTTCTCCTCTAACCACTCTGTAGTCATCCCTTCTTGTCACATCTATAAACTCTCCTTCCATTTTCAAATTATCGGTATGTTTATGCATTTCAGCTCTCTCTCCTCTAAATACACTATAGTCATCTCGGCGAATTCCGGTAAATTCGCCAGTAACTTGGAGATTGTCCTCATGCTTAGTTATTTCAGCCCTCTCCCCTCTTACAATGACAAAATCGTCTCTGGTTCTGTATGTTTCAATATCACCTTCAGGCTTCAAATTGTCCCTATGTTTTATGACTGGAGCTCTTTCACCTTTAAGAGGAGTTTCTTCTCTTAGACGTTTTTCAAATTCACCTTCAGGTTTCAAATTGTCTTGAGGCTTAACAATGGGTGCTCGTTCTCCTCTTCTCGGTGATTCTTCTAGAGGACGCTTTTCAAATTCTCCCTCAGGCTTCAAATTGTCCTGAGGCTTAACTATTGGAGCCCTTTCTCCACGCACTGGGGCTTTTTCTTGTGGTCTCCTTTCAAATTCACCTTCAGGCCGAAGATTGTCTTTTGGTTTCACGACTGAGGCTCTCTCACCCTTTGTTGGTGTTTCCTCCTGGGGACGTTTTTCAAATTCGCCTTCAGGTCGTAAATTATCTTTAGGTTTTACAATTGGAGCTCGGTCACCTTTTAATGGAGTCACAGATTTTTTGGGCCTAACAAAATCACCCTCAGGTCGTAAATTATCTGGATGTTTTACAATTTCTGCTCTTTCACCAGGACCTACCTTCTGTGGTGTACGTTTTTCGAACTCTCCTTCAGGTTTGAGATTATCTTCTGGTCTAACAGCTTTAGGTCTTTCTCCTGGAATGAATCTTTCTTGATATGGCCTTTCAAATTCTCCTTCAGGCTTTAGATTATCATTTGGTTTTATAGGCTTTTGACGCTCTCCAGGTCCATATGATATAATTTCAGGTCTTTCAAAATCACCTTCAGGGTATAAATTGTCTTTAGGCTTAACAACAGGAGCTCTTTCTCCTCTTAAAGGTGCCTTTTCTTTTGGTCTGCCTTCAAATTCTCCTTCGGGTTTCAGGTTGTCAGGATGTTTGATGAGTTCAGGTCGTTTAGCAGGCTTGTAAGCCTCAGGGTATCGCTTTTCAAAATCTCCTTCTGGTTTAAGGTTGTCATGAGGCTTAATGGGCTTAGGTCTTTCACCTGGTCGATACTCGTCAGGTTCTGATTTGGCAAACTCGCCCTCGGGATAAAGGTTATCTTTTGGCTTAACCACTGGGGCTCTTTCACCATATTGTGGTGCTTTCTCTTTTGGCCGTCTAATAAATTCTCCCTCGGGCTTAAGATTATCAGGATGTTTTACTATCTCAGCTCTTTCACCTGGTTTCACTTTTTCTGCAGTGGGTCTATCAAACTCTCCTTCTGGTTTTAAGTTGTCAACAGGTCTCACAGCTTGTGGCCTTTTTGTTGGAGTATAAGCCTCTGGAGTACGTTTTTCAAAGTCCCCTTCAGGCCACAAGTTGTCTTTTGGTTTTACGACTGGTGCTCTTTCACCATATGGTATGACTTCTGGTTGGCGCTTTTCAAATTCTCCTTCGGGATATAGGTTGTCTTTTGGCTTTTTAACAGGTGCTCTATCTCCTTTGGTCGGTGCCTTCTCTCTTGGCTTGTAATCAATTTCACCTTCAGGTCTTAGGTTATCAGGGTGCCTGATGATTTCTGGCCGTTCAGCAGGTTTATATGCTTCTGGATATCTCTTTTCAAATTCACCTTCAGGCTTAAGATTGTCATGAGGTCTGATAGGCTTAGGTCTTTCAGCTGGACGATATTCTTCGTGTTCTGGTTTTTGGAATTCTCCTTCTGGATACAAATTATCTTTTGGCTTAACCACTGGAGCTCGCTCCCCATAAGAAGGTACCTTTTCTTTTGGTCTTCCAACAAATTCTCCCTCAGGTTTTAAATTGTCAGGATGTCGTACAATCTCAGCACGTTCTCCAGGCCGTACTTTTTCAGGAGTAGGTCTTTCAAACTCACCCTCAGGCTTAAGGTTATCAATGGGTTTAACGGCCTCAGGTCTCTTGGAAGGTGTATATTCATCCGGTTTTCGTTTTTCAAAGTCTCCTTCTGGAAATAGGTTGTCTTTTGGCTTTACCACAGGAGCACGTTCACCTTGGGGTATAGGCTCAGGTTGACGCTTTTCAAACTCACCTTCTGGGTGAAGATTATCTTTAGGTCTAATGACAGGAGCTCTATCTCCTTTTGTTGGAGCCTTCTCTCTCGGTTTATAGTCTACTTCACCCTCTGGTTTAAGGTTATCAGGATGTCTGATTATCTCTGGACGTTCAGCTGGCCTGTATGCTTCCGGATAACGCTTTTCGAACTCTCCTTCTGGTTTCAAGTTGTCAAGGGGTTTGACAGGTTTAGGTCTTTCAGCTGGTCTGTATTCATCTAGCTCTGGCTTGGCAAACTCACCTTCAGGATACAAATTATCCTTAGGCTTTACAACCGGAGCTCGTTCACCATGTGGTACTGGTTCAGGACGACGTTTTTCAAACTCACCCTCTGGTCTCAAGTTATCCTTGGGCTTAACCATTGGTGCTCTATCTCCTTTTGTTGGTGCTTTTTCCTTCGGCTTATAATCCACTTCTCCTTCAGGTTTTAAGTTATCTGGGTGTCTGATGATCTCGGGTCGCTCTGCCGGTTTGAAAGATTCAGGATAGTGCCTTTCAAACTCTCCCTCAGGTTTCAAGTTGTCATGAGGCCTGACAGGCTTAGGGCGCTCAGAGGGTCTATACTCCTCTAGCTCTGGCTTAGTAAATTCTCCTTCTGGAAATAAGTTGTCTTTTGGTTTGACAACTGGTGCTCTCTCCCCCATAAGGGGAACTGTTTCTTTTGGCCTACGCTCAAATTCACCTTCAGGTTTTAGGTTGTCAGAAGGTCTGATCTGCTTAGGTCTTTCTGCAGGTCTGAAAGGTTGTTTCTCAGGTGTTTCAAAATCACCTTCAGGCCTCAAATTGTCAGAAGGTCTGATTTGCTTGGGTCTTTCTGCAGGTCTGAAAGGCTGCTTCTCAGGGGTTTCAAATTCTCCTTCAGGCCTCAAATTGTCAGATGGTCTGATTTGCTTGGGCCTTTCTGCTGGTCTAAACGGTTCTTTTTCTGGCTTTTCAAATTCTCCTTCAGGTCTCAAATTGTCAGAAGGTCTGATTTGCTTTGGTCTTTCTGCTGGTCTGAAAGGCTGCTTCTCAGGTGTTTCAAATTCACCTTCAGGCTTCAAATTGTCAGAAGGTCTTATTTGCTTGGGTCTTTCTGCTGGTCTGAATGGTTCTTTCTGGGGTTTTTCAAATTCTCCTTCAGGCCTCAGATTATCAGAGGGTCTGAATTGTTGGGGTCTTTCTGCTGGTCTGAATGGTTCTTTTTCTTGTTTCTCAAAATCTCCTTCAGGTCTCAGATTATCAGAAGGTCTTATTTGCTTTGGTCTTTCTGCTGGTCTAAACGGTTCTTTTTCTGGCTTCTCAAATTCACCTTCAGGTCTCAAATTGTCAGAAGGTCTGATCTGCTTTGGTCTTTCTGCAGGTCTGAAAGGTTGCTTCTCAGGTGTTTCAAATTCTCCTTCTGGTCTCAAATTGTCAGAAGGTCTGATTTGCTTGGGCCTTTCTGCTGGTCTAAACGGTTCTTTTTCTGGCTTTTCAAATTCTCCTTCAGGTCTCAAATTGTCAGAAGGTCTGATCTGCTTTGGTCTTTCTGCAGGTCTGAAAGGTTGCTTCTCAGGTGTTTCAAATTCTCCTTCTGGTCTCAAATTGTCAGAAGGTCTGATTTGCTTGGGCCTTTCTGCTGGTCTAAACGGTTCTTTTTCTGGCTTTTCAAATTCTCCTTCAGGTCTCAAATTGTCAGAAGGTCTGATCTGCTTTGGTCTTTCTGCAGGTCTGAAAGGTTGCTTCTCAGGTGTTTCGAATTCTCCTTCAGGTCTCAAATTGTCAGAAGGTCTGATCTGCTTTGGTCTTTCTGCAGGTCTGAATGGTTGCTTCTCAGGTGTTTCAAATTCTCCTTCAGGTCTCAAATTGTCAGAAGGTCTGATTTGCTTGGGCCTTTCTGCTGGTCTAAACGGTTCTTTTTCTGGCTTCTCAAATTCACCTTCAGGTCTCAAATTGTCAGAAGGTCTGATCTGCTTTGGTCTTTCTGCAGGTCTGAAAGGTTGCTTCTCAGGTGTTTCAAATTCTCCTTCTGGTCTCAAATTGTCAGAAGGTCTGATTTGCTTGGGCCTTTCTGTTGGTCTAAACGGTTCTTTTTCTGGCTTCTCAAATTCACCTTCAGGTCTCAAATTGTCAGAAGGTCTGATCTGCTTTGGTCTTTCTGCAGGTCTGAAAGGTTGCTTCTCAGGTGTTTCAAATTCTCCTTCTGGTCTCAAATTGTCAGAAGGTCTGATTTGCTTGGGCCTTTCTGCTGGTCTAAACGGTTCTTTTTCTGGCTTTTCAAATTCTCCTTCTGGTCTCAAATTGTCAGAAGGTCTGATTTGCTTGGGCCTTTCTGCTGGTCTAAACGGTTCTTTTTCTGGCTTTTCAAATTCTCCTTCAGGTCTCAAATTATCAGAAGGTCTTATTTGCTTGGGTCTTTCTGCGGGTCTGAAAGGCTTCTTCTCAGGTGTTTCAAATTCTCCTTCTGGCCTTAAATTGTCAGATGGTCTGATTTGTTTTGGTCTTTCTGCTGGTCTGAAAGGCTGCTTCTCAGGGGTTTCAAATTCACCTTCAGGCCTCAAATTGTCAGAAGGTCTAATTTGCTTGGGTCTTTCTGCAGGTCTGTAAGGCTGCTTCTCAGGTGTTTCAAATTCTCCTTCAGGCTTCAAATTATCAGAAGGTCTGATTTGCTTGGGTCTTTCAGCAGGTCTAAATGGTTCTTTTTCAGGCTTCTCAAATTCTCCCTCAGGTTTTAAATTATCTATCGGTTTTGTTGGTTTAGGACGGTCTGTTTTGTAGGTTTTGTAAACATCCTTAGTGGTTGTATTGCTTTCAAATATTCCCTCCTCTGTGGTAAGATTGTCACGTAGAGTGTATTGAGTGACTCGTGTGATAGGATGCTCTTTGAACTCCTCAAGGTTTGTGGTTTCAAAATATCTCTCTCCATCTTGTTTAGTCCATGTCCCTCGACGAGTGGGTTTTTGCCGATCTGGCGTCTTCTCAGTGAAGTCTGTTTTTGAAGAAGTTTCAAATACCATTGTACCCTCAGTTGTAAGGTTGTCTGTGCGTTTAGTCACCTCAACACGATTTATATATTTATGGTCTGTAAATGCTTCTTGGTTGCTTGTTTCAAAGTAAAACTCATTGTTTTCCACAAACTTGTTGTCCTTCAGCTTTTTGGGTTTCTCTGGTTTCACAAGTTGGCGCTCAGGATAGTCTTCTTGTGCTCGCGTGGTTACCTGAAAAATGTCAATCATAGCTTTAATTTAGTATAGGAAACTTATCTGGAGGAGGGGAGGTAATTAGAAGGATGATGTTAAGGATTTTAAATATTCAGGAGGGATTCTCAATATCTCCTAGGAGGTTGTAGCTTCAGTTTCAGTATCTTACTTCATAAAACTATCAGTATAGTAGTTTGTAAGTCAAAGATTAATCATGACAAGAATTGATTCATCGAGATCAAAGTACATCGAGTAGTATCGAGATCAGTACTGGCAGAAAATGGAATATTTTTTTCTATTTTCTATTTTGTTAGCAGTTGTGTGTTACTTTCAACATTAGCTGGCTTAAACAAATGTTTTTGACCTAAAAAAAATCACACATGCTTAGAAATATTTCAGACTAGCTTGTACCCCCGGATTCGCCTGCGATGGTATAACCATTATACAGCATGAGAAATAAATAGAGTAACACAATCTAAATCGAAACTGGTAAAACAACTGGATACTTGAAAATTTTCTAATTTTTGTTTACTTAATCTTTTTATTGAGGTCTATGTCTTTAGTTCTGTTATGGTTTTGCAAAAAATTATATCTGTAGTGGCTTTGCAAATGATCACAAAAATAAGTTATTATCATGATTTATTGCACATATTAAAACAAATCATGTTACGATTAAAAATTCTACAGCAATTAAATTACAATTAAAAACTAAATGAAAACCATCTAACACAAAACAATATGTTTATAATCTCCAATTAAAAATTCTCACAAAATAATGTCTTGAAACTGAAAATGCTGTGACTCTTCAGCTTCTCCAAGGTATAGTTCTTTCATATCGGTTATTCTAATACTGGCAAAGAAACTTTTCCACCAGAAAAGCTCATTCCAGCATGCTCATCTTTCTATTCTAATGCTTTGCATAATTTTCAAACACACACCAAGTATTTCTGTTGAATACTTGTCGCCAATTATTAAATTAAAAACATATAAACATAAACATAACTGTAAACAATCCTACTTCGACAGTTCTCATTGTGTATGACAGTTTTTTCTTGCTGCTTAGTTCAAATTAGCTGTTATCATAAAATAATGCAAAATATTAATAGAGCTTTTAAATATCATAGAAACCAACTTCGTTAAAACATCTGACTATAAATTCTTTAATTAATTTTAAATATGAATACTCATAAGGTTATCAAGGGAAATTCCAGAGCCACTGAGGAGGAGCCGGAAAGGATTTTTTAGATTGTATTGTTCATAGCGGCTATAAATAAAAAAATACCTTGTTAAAATCATAGACAACAAACAAACAACTAATAAAATATAATAACTAATGTTACCGTGAATTTCCCCTCGCCCACTGTAAGGTTGTCTTCCCTTTGGCGTACAATCTCTGTGCGGCTCGTGTGATCGAACTGTCGGAACTCGCTGCGTGTCGTAGTCTCAGTTTCGATGTCGCCTTCCAATTTAGTGAAGGTGTTACGCCTCACCAGTTGAGGCCTTTCGGTCGGTTGGCCTGTGAAGTCTAGTTGCTTAGTTGTTACACCTGCACACAAAAAAAAATTAACTTCAAGTCCTTTGGAATCACACTAATAACTTGCATAGTATGGATTGAAATGTTGAAAATAAGGTTTGATAGTGAAATACGAGTAAGAAAGTTTTGTTCTTAAACATTGAGGTTTATTTATCATTTCTGTACCTCAGTATTGTTTTATTTAGGTTACTTTTAACTACTTATGTGGATCCTTTTTGTAAAAATATTTGTGCAACTTCCTGTTTTTTCATCATGTTTATTTGTTTTTCCTCTGCTTCGTAAAATACAGGGTGTCCACAAGATTGGTACAACTTCATACTTAACCCTTCCCGGACGGGTGACGGATATATCCGCCTAAGTCTTTGACGATAAAGGACAGGTAACGGATATATCCGCTTATGGTTTTTGATGTTCCGGATGGGAAGCGGATATATCAGCCTTCTCTTTAGACAAACTGGCAGGTGCTTGAGCAGTAACCGGATGTTTCGCGGTACCAAGGCGCCACTTTCCTGCTCTCTCCATGGCTGCGCTCACTCCCGCACTCCTCCCTCTCTCCAGCGCCAACCATGGCTCCCCCTCTCCCATGCCTCCCCCTCTCCCGCGCAGCCCCAACCTCTCCTACGCTCCCCTCTCGACGTTTCACGTTCAACACTACATTGTCTTTATTTATTGTTTAAATATTGTTCTTTATTTATTGCCTACCGTTGTCATGGTCATATCTTTAAAGAGGGGTGGCGGATATGTCCGCTGCTTTTCTACTCATATGCGGACGGGTAGCGGATATATCCGCATACTTAAAAAAGAGTATAAAATTATTTTGACAGTATGAAGTGTTCCATTGTGTTTATTTTATGTATACTTGCAGAACAAAACACAAATAAAGACATTAATTTTTATTTTTTCCTATAATTTTTTCTTGTTCTATGTCACGATTTTGCCCGTCCGGGAAGGGTTAAGTCATACTGTTGTTTTTGAACTTACGATATTCTATCTGTGTTGGCTGTATTAGCAACATTCTTAAATTTAGTTTTCATAATTATTACCGAGCTTGTTCACCTGATACCTTAACATTTCAACCTAAAATTAAAATATTTGACTAGCAGATACAATAGACAAGGTGTTGGCCAACATACTATATAGCTTCCTGTTTTTTTCACATCACCCCTCATGATTCCCGTCTAATGAGGCAAATGAAAGACAGCCTCTACCAGACAAAAACACCTCAGTTGATGTTCTTAGAGACGATTTGAAAATCCTTTTTCAAGGATTCCACCAAAATGTGTAAAACTGAATTTCATACATGAATTAAATGGTAGTTGAGTTTAGTTGGTATTCTGAAAGATATGCCCATAATTTTCCCTCTTAGTTCATCAACATCAATTGAGAAATAAGATTTGTTTTTTTTTTCTTTATTTGCTCTTTAAGAGTAGGCCTAAATTACATGGTGGTGATGTTGGGAAAACGAGGAAAAGGTATTTGGGCAAACCCTTGTTCTTTGTATCTGCTATTCAACAATTTTAATTTCAGGTTACCATATCAGCAAGCTCGGCAACAATTGTATGAGTGAAACTAACCTTTAGAGTGAGTCTGATACAACAAACAAAAGATAAACACTCTAAGCTGAAAATTAATAGCATGGCTAATGTATAAAATTGTTCTAATCTTTTGTGAAGACCGAGTAGTTTGAATAGTTGTTTGGATAGTAATAAAAAGTGTTATTGTAATTTGATTTATTAATCATTTTTTACCATATAGCATACATCATTCAAGGTAATTAAACCATAGCTCTTAAGGTATAATTATTTTATAAAAATAGTAGTTTGCGCAACAATTGCGTAAAGATATCTTTCCGACACAAGTAGATATGATTTAACGCACGAGCTTTGGCAAGTCTTACATAGCTTTACCTACGACTGTTTTTTAATTACGTTTGTAATACTTCATTAATACCTATACTCTTTCTGTTTTTTAGGGAATATGTACTCATCAGCCTTACCATAAAGTACTGTTTCAGGTACAGTACATGTAGAAAAATACTACATTTTTTTAGCAATACTGAATATATTAAAACAGTTAATTTACAACATCAAAACACACAAAATAAAGTATCTCATTTTAACTCTTCTCAACTCAAGTGGATGTTGGCAGATCAGCAATTGAATATGTTGTTACCATATAAGTTGATGTCCAACTTATTACAATTTTTAATAACTTTTTTCAATCCTTGAACCCCATTGGTCCATTACTTTACCACACTAGTGCTGTAAAGTTAGTAACCAATGTGGTAAAGTAAACCTTTTCAATTCTAAAAATTATATTGGCAAGTGTAAAAAAGCGGTTGTATTTGATAAATTCATCCAGCCAACGTATCTTGTTTATACATCTTTAAAAAAAAACACAGTACTTTAGAAATAAAAGTTTTAGTTACTTGTATGTTGACTATATAAAGCCATCATAAAAGTTCACCAAATAATTGGTAAGTGTTGCCATGTGTACTGAATCAGATGAAAATATCATAAAGACTTTTAACAATAATTCATTTCAGAAAGCTACTACAACATTAGGTAGGAGATGGAAAAAACAATGAACTAAACTCACCAGTGAATTCTCCTAGAGGTTTCAGATTGTCCTCAGGTTTTGTGACAGGCGCTCGCTCCCCTCTGGTGGGAGCTTTAGGCTGTTCCGGTCTCTCAAACTCCCCTTCAGGTCTTAAATTATCAGAAGGTCTGATTTGCTTGGGCCTTTCTGCAGGTCTGAATGGTTCTTTTTCTGGTTTCTCAAAATCTCCTTCAGGTCTCAAATTGTCAGAAGGTCTGATTTGCTTGGGCCTTTCAGCAGGTCTGAATGGTTGCTTTTCAGGCGTTTCAAAGTCTCCTTCAGGTCTTAAGTTATCAGATGGTCTGATTTGCTTGGGCCTTTCAGCGGGTCTAAATGGTTGCTTTTCAGGAGTTTCAAAGTCTCCTTCAGGTCTCAAATTATCAGATGGTCTGATTTGCTTGGGCCTTTCTGCAGGTCTGAATGGTTCTTTTTCTGGTTTCTCAAAATCTCCCTCAGGTCTCAAATTGTCAGATGGTCTAACTTGCTTGGGCCTTTCACCAGGCCTGTAAGGCTCTTTTTCTGGCTTTTCAAAGTCACCTTCAGGTCTTAAGTTATCAGAAGGTCTGATTTGCTTGGGCCTTTCTGCAGGTCTGAATGGTTCTTTTTCTGGTTTCTCAAAATCTCCCTCAGGTCTCAAATTGTCAGATGGTCTAACTTGCTTGGGCCTTTCACCAGGCCTGTAAGGCTCTTTTTCTGGCTTTTCAAAGTCACCTTCAGGTCTTAAGTTATCAGAAGGTCTGATTTGCTTGGGCCTTTCTGCAGGTCTGAATGGTTCTTTTTCTGGTTTCTCAAAATCTCCCTCAGGTCTCAAATTGTCAGATGGTCTAACTTGCTTGGGCCTTTCACCAGGCCTGTAAGGCTCTTTTTCTGGCTTTTCAAAGTCACCTTCAGGTCTTAAGTTATCAGAAGGTCTGATTTGCTTGGGCCTTTCTGCAGGTCTGAATGGTTCTTTTTCTGGTTTCTCAAAATCTCCCTCAGGTCTCAAATTGTCAGATGGTCTAACTTGCTTGGGCCTTTCACCAGGCCTGTAAGGCTCTTTTTCTGGCTTTTCAAAGTCACCTTCAGGTCTTAAGTTATCAGAAGGTCTGATTTGCTTGGGCCTTTCAGCGGGTCTAAATGGTTGCTTTTCAGGAGTTTCAAAGTCTCCTTCAGGTCTCAAGTTATCAGATGGTCTGATTTGCTTGGGCCTTTCTGCAGGTCTGAATGGTTCTTTTTCTGGTTTCTCAAAATCTCCCTCAGGTCTCAAATTGTCAGATGGTCTAACTTGCTTGGGCCTTTCACCAGGCCTGTAAGGCTCTTTTTCTGGCTTTTCAAAGTCACCTTCAGGATGAAGATTGTCTGAAGGTTTAAAGGGCTTTTGTCTATCAGCAGGCCTAAACGGTTCTCGTTGAGGAACTTCAAAATCACCTTCTGGTTTAAGGTTATCAGGATGTCTGACAATTGGCGCTCGTTCTCCAGGTCCATACTTCTCAGGCTTAGGCCGTTCGAACTCTCCTTCGGGATGCAGATGGTCTTCCACTTTAAACCTGCAAAGTAACAAATTATTAAAGTCCCTAAAATTTCCAGATCTGTTTGCAGCTAGTATGAAGTTCACTTGCCTGTGGGGGATGAGAGAGCCTACATAAAAAACACTATTCGTATTGGATGGAAGGCGGGATGAAGAAATTTTAAGGCCAAAATTCCAGCAACTTTAGATCAAACATACATGGAAGAGCCAACAATTAATTGTACTTGAACGGCCAAAATATATGAATTGGGTGCATACATTTTGTAACTGGGAAATTTTATATGTTGAATAATGACAATAAAATCTGCAAAAGTTGCCATTTGCCCTCTATTTACGTAGTTGCCTCATATAATTTACATTCGTGGCATAAAACTACGATATTTCCATGATCTTGAGAAATTATGTCGACGTTGTTGTGATTGTGAGGGATAACTTTGACCAATCCATGTTTGAATGAGAACACGTATATGATTCCGCTGTAATCGTGAAGTCTGTGATTATAGAGGATGATCTAACACGGAATTTTTGGGTGCTATACCGTACAAGAGAAATTTTCTGCTTTTCTGTTTAACTTAGGCAGTGAAACACTGCCATTTAGTAGCAACAAATAATCTGCATCCAACCTATTTATGTGATTATTTAGCAGATCATCACTAATTAAGATATGGCTCTTTGGAGTCATGAGTGATGGCTACAAAACCACACAATGCAGATGTTTCAGGCCAGCAAATTTAGACGGATGGTGGTGTGGGTTGTATAAAAAAAAATTTAAAAAAGTAGCTACAAAAAGAGATATTGCGTTGATTTTTATACCCCGAAAGAGCAGTCGCGTTTTAGGGGACGGAATTCTCACTTAAAATAATGTCCACCGACTTTGAAGGTATGGCATTCTATAGCTAGAGGTACCTATAGGTTTACTCGTTTACTGTCACTAAGAGAAATCAAAATTATCCCCATTACTTTTATATTTCAAAAAAGACGACCATGTTTTTTCAGCCCAGAAAAAAAATTTCAACAAAACTGTTAACGTTGCCATGGACATTTTGCCAACGCCACCAGCTTCACCCAAGCCTGTTGGCACTGGTATCCTCACCCTGAGGGTACCCCATGCATAAGGAGTAAAGTGGATTTTTGTGAACATAAGAAGCAGAATATGAAAAAAATGTATAATCAAACCGATACATATTCTCTGGTATTGAAAAGGAGGTTGTACAAACAATAAAGAGACCTTTTAAATACATAGCATGTTTAGTACCTGCGAGGTCTTTCTGCATGTTTCTCAGGGTAGTCCAGCTCGTACGCAGTTCTTGTGTCCAGGGGCTCCTTGGGTAATTCAAGTTCTGTCTGCAATCTCTTCAACTTGGGCCGTTCCACCTAATGCAAACAAAAGTATTTGAAAATGTAAATAGTAGGAAATATAGGGCAATATAATCAAAAATTCTTTTTCCATACCTAAGTTACATAACCAGTTTTAGAATGAAAACTAAAATAGTCAAATTGAGCCAATGGCAGAGTGTGATGTAAATGACTTTCTATTGAATTCACCAACTCTTCAACCAAGCAATACTGAAAGGACAACTTATTGTAAGCTAGAACACATTTTGTCACATCAACTATCACAGCAACAAAAGCTACGAGGGAGAAAATTAGATTTTAGACTGTAGCATAAAATATATGTATAAGAACTTTTGCAAGGACAAAGGCTACTACAAAAAAGTTACCTCAAAAATATCAAGCTCTTGCCACTGGGAAAATATATAAAACATGTTACTGTATTTTGAATACTAAATTGCTACAACCGGCCCATATCTATGGGATGTCTACTTCAGTATACAAAAGTCAAATTTGGGTAGGATTTAGGGTCACCTCGGAGGGTTTGAAGGGACGGAACTCCTCGTGCAGCAGCGAGTGGTCGGGCAGAGGTTCTGGTTGCCAGTCCAATGGAGGGCCTTCGCTGTACGGACCATGAGGACATCTGTGTCTCCTAAAACAACAGACAGATGACGTTAGACAAACATTACTACATTACGACATGGACGATAGAGCTATGATAGGCATGTCTGGTTCTAGAAGTGGCACCAAACATTGAAAACCACTTTTTGTTTAACTCAAAAGTCATGCTATTTATTAATCCATACTTTTATCATATACTAACTTACACCAAATAACATATTACAAATTTTAACGATAGATAAACTTTTCATGGCTAACTTGAGAGAAAAAAACCATAGATAAAACACTCCTTTAGTAGATTTCTCATCCTTATATGGAACAGCTGAAGACAATTTTATTGTTAGTTCTGTACGGTTTATGTAGAGGTCGTGTTTTGTTTATAATTTGTTTCCCGTTATTAGTCATTTAAAACCTTGTTTAACCAAATAATACAATCTAATCATAAACAATAATTTTTACCCTAGTTATATAACCAAAAAGTAAAGCACAAACAAGAAATTAACCCTAAATAATAAAACAAAATTTTGTCGACACTGGCGCCCAGTGTCACCGTACATGAACTAGAGACTACATTTTAGAGACTTGAAAAACGTGCTTCAAAATTTACAATGGTATGAGAAGTCTACTTGTTTTGGTTAGTCTATGGAAAAACTGAATTGACCTTCTGCAGCACTGATTGGCAGAAATTGGAAACTCCTTCAAAATTAACCATGTAAGATTTTTTTTTAATAGACTGCCTGCCACTGCTAGACTTGCTAATTTAATACACTTTAAAAGTAATTATGTGAGTGACATAGCCAATCCATTTTATCTTACAGTTTTGTTTTGAAAAGTGTTTAGTTTGTTAATTAAAACTGCTGTTTAGTCTGGTTAATAATATTGTCTTCAACGTTCAGAAAAAACAAAGTGAGTTTATAATTAACTTAATTTATTTAAAAAAATAAGAGCTCTGCTATGCAACTTACTTTGAAAGTAAAAAAAATCATGAAGAATATACAAATCATGTTGTCACAGTGGTAGAAAACATACCTGTCAGATCAAATGAATACATGCAAGAAATGTTTACTGGTAACAGCTTTAAGTTGGGAATCATTTGTATAAAACACTAAAAAATAAAAAAATATATTCTAAAAAATTATAAAATATTTTACAATACTGTAAGTGTTTATTATTTTAACCCATTATTAATAGAGTGAGTATTTCAATTAGTTACAAAAGCTTTGAGTCTTTGAAGCTTATTGAAATCGAAAATTATGACTGTTATTACTGTAGTTAACGCCTGTATAATAAAGGTACTTGACAATTGCTCAATGTTGAGCACTCATAGAAAATTTCTGTTATTTTTTTAATAACTTCTGTATAATACTGGTACTTGACAATTGCTCAATTTCAAGCAACAGGCGCACTAGTCTTATTGGTTACTCTTCATTCTGTCCTTGATTATATATATAGATGGATAAATAATAACAGGTCTGGTAACATAACACGGTATTTTTTTATTTAAAATATCATTCGTTAAATCTTAAATCGTTAAATTTTCTGAAGAAGTCCTATAGGACAAAATATTATTATACATTTTCTGTTAGGTTCAAGAACATGAATTAACTAGCAGAGTACCCGTCCTTCGTACGGGGTTGAAATATAAGTATAAAATGCTTATTGCAGTTATACTCAAGCTTTGCGTTTGCAATAAGGGAGGACACAGTTTGATAAAATTTGCTTTTTTAAATTTACAGTATTCTATAGTATTACACATCTACCATAGCCATAATGTTCTACCACTTCACCTAAACAATAGAGAAAAATAAATTATCAACAATTCGCAAAATATCACAAATTATTCATGAAATGAAAAACATAAACATAACTGTAAACGATCCTACTTTGACAGTTATCATTGCGAATCACAGTTTTTTGCTGCTTAGTTAAAATTAGCTGTTTTCATAAATGCAAAGAAAAATATAGTGCTGCACCCTGTTGGTAAATCTTATAACTTTTTAATGCTTTTCCGTATCATAGAACCAACTTTTTTAATTGAAACAGCTGACTAAATTCTTTAATTCCCTTTAAATATGAATACTCATAAGGTAAACATGGCGAATCACAGAGCCACTGGGGCGTAGCCCGAAAGAATTTTGAGATAAGAATATGCCTATATGTTAATCGGGAATGTAAGCTATCATCATGCCAAATTTCAGCCCAATCCGTCTAGTGGTTTAAGCGTGATCGAACTTCAAACAAACAAACAAACAAACAAACAAACACACAAACTTTCACATTTATAATATTAGTAAGATATTAGCTAACATTTTTTGTTACTGTTGCCTGTGTTCTTGAGTAAAATGTTAGTGTGTCATCCTATGTATTATGAAAAAATACATTCTTACTCGAGAACTTGGGGAACAACAGCAAAATAATATAATCATAATTCAAAATATAATAATATGCCTTTTTATGTGACCTTTTTATTTTGTATCTGTTAGACCTGGACTAAACTACTGTAGGTAGCTATAGCATAGACATGGCTATAGTAAGAGGTAAGATAGCTTAACTAAATCAATTTACAAAAATCTGTAAATTTAGAACCTTGAGTTGTAAATAAATAAGAGCAAAAGTACAAAAACACTTTATAAAGGGGGATTAAAACTGAACATGAACAAAGTACAGTAGCATGTCAACTCATTTCATTGAAAGTAAATACAAATGACTGAAATATCAAGATCAAATTATTGTAGAGCTAAAAAATTTGGGGGGAAATGCAGCATTCTATCAAAGTCTTTAGGCAAGGTTAGGGATTTGAACTAAGCCATAACCTAGCGCAACTGCATGCAGACAACCTGTATAATTATTTTACTATAGCATTTATAAGTCAAATTTTCAGAATTCCCATTATTTATAGAAAATCTAAATAATCTTCAATTAAATTTGTTAAATGAAATGAGCAGTTTAGCACATCTTTGACAAAACTTTTATTAATTAAATGTTGATTGATTGATCTTAATTGGTCGATGTTGAAGTTGAATAAATTTACATAGCCCCTATTTAATTCTGAAAAAGAATTATTACTTTTGTTAGCAAAGAAAAAAATCAAGAATGTGGATATGAATAATGGTTTAAAGAAGTAGAGGAGGAATTACTGTATACTTAAAATTATTGTACTTAGTCTTAGAAAATGATGAGTACTTTTGATATACATACATTGCGTTTAAATTTTCTTTCCAGGTAGTAGTTGTTTTGAAAACACTCATATTTTCTAAACCGCGAAGAATCTATGAGTGGTGTTAATTTTTATTTTATTAAACCTTTTAAGAATTTTTATTATTTGTAGACATCTATTCTACCAGCCATAAATCACAGCCTGGGGATGGAATGAAAAAAGTTTACTATTTTTTACGCAACTAACTTCCGTTACCTTGCTCTTGCTTTTGCTCTGTAGACAAGATGTAGGGTTGGTGCAGTAAGGGGGTGTCTCTGAGATAGAGTCAACATAAGTTACACTTTACTCTCTCTCTCTTCCATTATCTACCACTCACTAAATCACAAATCACAAACTAAACTTAGCGAAGGTAATTAATTGGTGAGTTAAGAAAAGCAATCACAACATACCATTGTGACATAATCGATTAATTAAATCATTGAATTGCACGACCCATAGTTTTATCTTAAGATTGTAAGATATTAAAAAAAAATTGTCATATTGATTTTTGTTGCATGAGTGAGTGCTAGAGAGAATTTTAAACAAATTCCTATAGCTTTGTGAGAGATTTTTCGCTGAAGTAAGAATTTTTCATAGAAGAGCTAACATTTTTATGGTACAGTATACAACAAATTAAAACATTACGAACAAATTGTTTGGTAATAATCTCAAACAAAACTATATTCTTATTTATTTAATATGGTAAGATACATATTTTTAATCCAAATTTTTACTTCAGATTGTTATCCATCTTTTCACAGTTTTTTTTACAATTTATTAACAAACTCCTAAAACAATAAAATCATTGTTGAGCTTGTCAAGATGATTTTGTTTGAAGAAACTTACATTGTTTCATCACTGTAATACTTGTATATTAATTTTTCTTGAATTTCACGCAAGAGTGTAGTGTATAATGTTGACACAATATTTGGCTTTGTAACCCCTAGAAATAACAGACTCTAAACACAAAGAAACGACCAATTCGGCAATCTGAATTCTCATTCCTTATTGCCTGGCCTTCCTATAACAACCTACTAGAACCTACTGTATCACCATGCTATCGGCAAGGTAATTCAGCAGACGGTAACAGCTGATTAGGTCATTTACATACCCCCTGACACGGAATTCTCACTTTTGCCTTTAACTAATGATTGTGCTAAAAATATTACATTGGAGAATGTTATATTTAAATTGTTGAAAGTTAATCTTTTTATGAAAAGCCACAATGATAAAAATAGTCTTTTTACAGCATTTTTGTCAAAAATTTAACCGTTAAGTAAGTATAGGGATTTCTCTGAAGCTTTGTGACAGCTAATATAAAAATGTATTGCACACGACAAGTTAGCAAAGATATAGGTCAAGTTTTCCCAAAGAAACACAATTGCATACTACAGATTTTTTTTATACAGAGCAGTGCTAAAACGTATGAATTTATTTCTTATGAAATTAGGGGTTTCATTATGTTATGAAAGTTATTTGAATTACACTTTAAAATAGTTTAAACCCACTGAATACTGTATTTAAAAAAATATTTGATAATGCCTTTATATCTTGAATCAATTTTTGATTATTTAATTAAGCCTTGCTATGGCATTTTCTAAATTAATTAATGCTTTTTAATTTGATATTTATATATTTTAAAAGTTTATTGCGTTAGTGATACTATGTTAATCCAGAACTAATCATTACCAAGGTGGTTAAATTTCTCAATACATTCGTTAAAAAAGACTTCTTTACTGTTCCATTCCTCCTAAATCCAAAATAAATTACAATATGAAATATGCCATCCACTATCTAAGAAAGGTTTATGTAAGAGCAATTTTTTAATAGTACAG